ATATATGCATACATATATGCATATACATATACATATGCACATACACATACATATATATATATATAACTATATATGTATTTGTATATGCACACATATACGCATCCACTCACATATGTATACGTGTCTGTGTGTACATATAAAAACATAATACGCATATGTATATGTATGTGTGCGTGGGTACATACATATATATAGAGAGAGACGTATATGTGTTAGCTGTAGATGCCGATGGATGTAGGTGTACTTGTATATGGATATGTAGATGTACAGTATGTATAACGTATGTGCATGTACACGTGTACGTAAGCACGCATTCACGAAGCAATCTTTGTATCCATCTGCCCGATAAATGTAGCCATTGTGGTACGTATAGTCTTATATGACCTCGTGAGGTCAAAGAGCTGAGGTGACTGGGAGCGCTACCGTTTGGGCGTGATGGTGAGAACTTGGGGAATCCAAGTCATTGGCTGGGTTCACCTCTGTCTCCTCATGGAAGCCCCGGCTTTAACCAGCACGAGGTTTGTTTTTTTTTTTGCCATGGGTTCGATGGTTTGGCGTACTTCCAACTTCCAACACAAGTAAGCTAAACCACAGCCCAACCCCGCGCTACCGGCTCTGTCGAAAGCAAAGCAGACGAAAGCATTTCCAGTTTCTGTAATTTGGAGAAGACTTACTGAGAGAGCACTTCACGCAGAGCGTCGCGAAATGTCGCGAAACTAGCATGTTTCCAGTTCTCATTACGGTCAGCAGACGCCTTCACGGTGCCAGGACAAAGACCGCTTTCATCGGCGTGGCAAGCTCATCACAGTAGTGATGCTGGCACTTCAAGGTGCTTCCATAGAGGTCCTGAATGTCTTGATTTACAACAATGATGCTTGCCTGCAGCATGTCTACTCCAGCAGCGTATAGGCGTATGGCAGGCAAGGACCCCCCGCATCTGACTCAACTTTCCTCTCGTACAACAGCTCCTGCTCAGGAACCCTCTTTCTATATGATGTATGGTCTGTACGTACTCTTCAGCGTCTCATCAGCAGAGTGACAAGGAGCGCTGTCTGTGTAACCTTCGCTTTTTTGGATCATTTGCAGCTGTGCCAAATGCAACGCCCGAAGAGGTGACTTCATTTCGATACCGAGGTAAGTCCTGCCCGTTTACTGTCCGGGTGCTCCTCTGTTTCGTGTCACTGATGACCTGGGCCTTTGTCGACAATGTGTGCCGTGGCTGCCAGCCCTAGCGGTCCTAGCCTTGCCTTGAAGACGTCTCTCGTCGCTGTCTGAGATGTTGGCTGAGCTCAGGCAATGCGACTGGCAAGTACGTCAGCGTGCTGCGGAGTATGTAAGCTGAAGCCTCGTTCAAATTCCAGCACATTGGCTACTTTCGATCGATACCTGAATGATAATAAAGTGCTTGAGGTTACACTGGTGCGGTGTTCCTGCTGACAGCAGCTGGCATCAGGCAGGGATAGAGAACTCCATGTTTATTCTCTAGTTGATCCCTGCTGCAGGATGCAGGAGCACCTCGATCACTGTGCAGCTTGGTCAAGTCACTCATAGTCACTCCTGTTGTTGAGGCCTCGGCCTTTCCGTTCAAACATCCCCTCTTCGTAGGATGGAACGCGGGTCTGCTTTGTGATGCCAAATAAGGCAGACTTCTACAAGCGGCACGTGCAGAGACGCATTCGGGAAATCTCAGCAACTTGGCGATGCTTAACCTTACAGACTTAACGCTGCCAAAAGCTCGCGTCGCCGACGGTGCCTGTGGTGCCGTCTCAGTTTCGTCCCTCCCCAAGCTGTCACCTTTCTGGGAATGCTGGGGACTGGTCAGAATCGTTTTCTGAATCATACAAGGCAACCTGAGCAGCAGCCCCCGAAACCACAGAGAAGACTGATGACAGGTGCTGTTGAGTGGAGTGCAGAATGACTGTGAGTTCTTGGCGCTCCCTCAGGACACGAAGCTGGGAAGCCAGACCCTGTTGGCCAAGATTCTGCCTCCTCATGTTGTCGAGTTGGTAAATGCCCCTTCGGCTGCATTGCAAAGACCACATTTCCAGAGGAGTGGAATACTGTCGGTTGCTGAAATCAAGTTCTGCGGTGTAAGCCCTCCAGCAGCTGGATCCTGCTGGTCGCATTCAGTGTACTGCTGTAGACTCTACGGCGTAGAGTTCAACGAGTGATCAAAGAGTCACAGCATTCATAGTGCCAAATGACCGTCGGGAATGGCACGGATTGAGGAGAACGTATCACCGATTGCAGAAGACTTTCCAGACGTCACCATTGTGTTCACAGAAGCTTGGATCAATCAGAATGCGTCATCTGACAGATCCGCCGCATGCTTTCACCATATTCAAACAAGTCTTTGTTAGCCCCAGGATCTGAAAGGCTTCACGGCCTTTTGCTCCCGCGGCTGTGCTGCAGATGGGGTTTGCTGCTGAGAAACCTCTGCCAGAGAATTTGGACATTCGGCCAGGCATCACTCCAACGGAACTGGTGGAGTTGTTGAACCTGCTCTACTCTGCCTTTGACGAAGTCATACTGGAGTGGGGCCTGTACAAAGTGGAACCTCGCCCGCAAGCCGCCAGCATTCCACTACGTCTCACAGCTTGCCTCCCAATCTTGTGCGACGACAGTGAATTTGCCCCATGGCCTCATAGATGTCAACCATCAGGAAGTCATCGGAGACGCCTACTTTATCTCATCGGGTTGCCCCGCACGGGAGGTGCGCTGATGCGTCGCGCTTGTCGCGCTATGATGCATCATTTTCTTTGCTCTGGGGGTCTAGAATTGCAATCATGGAATTCTCCATGTTGTGGGGCAGAAAGGTCATGTTCAGACTCCCAAGCGATCCCAAGTGGAGAACTTCCATTATGGACCATTAAAGTGCCAAGCCGCTAAAGGAGGAGTCGAACTTCCCCGACGAGTTTGCCATGCGAGCCGTGGAGGAGCTCGACGAGTGCTACTAATGACCATAGCTTGATAAATTTCGGTGCCGTGCTAAAGCCCATGATCGACCCACAACGCCGTGCGTGAACAGAAAATTCAATAAGATGTCCATGCGACAAGAAGCAAGCAACATCACAACAGACTTATATGCACAGTCTGAGGTGATACCGTACTAGCCATCAAGCCAGCATTCGGTCGCCTTTTCGCTTTATCTGGTTTCTGCCGACCTCGCCCGCAGGTTGCTCTCGCGATGCAGCGTGTGATCCCCACGGTGTTTGATGACAGCTCCGTGCTGATGAGCCACTTGGCCATATGTGGCCATGCAGAGCATCAGTCTCCCTGCTGACATGTTCATGCTGCAGCGTCGCCAGTCAGTGTAGCTCCTTGCTGGATGTCGAACATGACTTCCGCCGGGTAGGCGTGTCCGTGTGTCTGTATGTGTGTGTGTGTGTGCGTGTTGATGTGAATGTGTTACGCTCTGTCCCGGCCGAGGTCTTTGCACCCGAAACACCAAAATCTCCGTAGCCGCAAAGTGTGCCGAACCAAGGAGCCGGCATCCACACGGGCAATGTCGTTGCTGGAGTGGTTGGCAAGAAAGGAGTCCGCATGCCTGAGTCATCGTCATTTAGCAGGTCGACGTCAAACTCACGAACGGAATCACTTTCTTGTAGTATTGGGTAGTATCGGCAGCAGTAGCAGCAGTAGCAAGCACTGGGAGTAGGAGCGCGAGTAGGGGTAGTAGGGTAGGGGCGGGGGTAGGAGTAGCAGTAGTAGGAGGAGGTGTGGTGTAGTGTAGTGTAGTGTAGTTGTAGTTGTAGTTGTAGTTGTAGTAGTTGTAGTAGTAGTAGTAGTAGTAGTAGTAGTAGTAGTGGCAGTGGCAGTGGTAATAGCAGTAGCAGTAGCAGTAGCAGTAGTAGTAATAGTAGTAGTAGTAGTAGTAGTAGGAGGAGGAGTAGCAGTAGCAGTAGCAGTAGCAGTAGCAGTAGCAGTAGCAGTAGCAGTAGCAGTAG